AGGCTTTTGCCTCACTGAAAAGCAGTTTGGAAGCATAACGCTCCAATTCTACTACTTTGTAAACTTCTCATTTTTACATTTAGTGTTGCTGAGTGATCAGTCACCGTCTCTTCTGTATCCTGCTGGATCCTCACTGTGATGGGGCTGTCAGTAAAATATGGATGGAAGCAGGTATTAAGGGGTGAAAAAAGAAAAGAAAGTGTTCTGGATGATGAAGTAAGTTAAAATGTTCACTTGTACTAAGAACAGATACTGTTAGAAGTATCAGCCTCAAAAAGCAACAAACAATGAAAAGAGAAGAATGAGAAAAGGCTCTTTAAAAAAAAGAGTGTATTTATAAATAATTATTTAAGAGCACAATTCCTAGCATTAACAATCACAGCTGTTAAAAATACCTTTTTTAAGTCAACTAATTTACACTGCCACTACTTCATTATCTATCCCAGGTAACTTTTTTACCCATATTGCCCTGTAGGATGAACCTTATCTATGAAGAAGAGCAACTTATTTATCCATCAGAGTAATAGTCAGTACAAGTAAGGGTGACACAGATGGTCTTGACAGATATATAGACATGCAGATAGTAATAAAAAAATCACCTCCGAAGTGGAGCATTCTCTTCAATATCCTCCAAAGTCTCCAGAGAAGACCGCTGGGAGATCAAACGACGTCTGAGAAGAAAAGAGAAATTGCCATCAACGATTAGAACATGGGCAATAATAATAAAAGCTCAAAGCCCTGTTAATTTATTATGGGCAGCGTGCTACATAACTGAATCAAACTAAGGCACAGGTTGTTATTCGCCTGGTTTCATCCTGTTCAGTCCTGTTTTTCTTAAGCCGCTACATTCATCCCTTCTACAAATTATTCATAACATGTGTTTTTAATCAAAACAAATATTGACCTTGAACACTAACAACCAATTTCTCCATTTGCATTTTGTACCTAAATGGGGTCTCTGCTTTTGCAGTTTTCTTTCTTTGACTAGCTGAGAAGGTTATGCATGTTTTTTTATTTGGTTGCATAGGTTCAGAGCTGCTTCCACAGAATGATTTCTAGGTCATTTGCTTATAATGAATGTTTTTCATTGTACTACTTTCTTCTACCTTTAATATCCTCCACTCATACCAATTTCACTGATATACTAGCAAGTCCTGACCCTTGCATTTCTCCACCATTTGCTATGCTATATGTATGCATCTCAAAGATTACAAAGCTGGAAAAACTCTATGATAATACCATTTCAAAAAAAAGTGAGACCCGATTAATTTCTGAAGAAGATTTGATGTTGTCCTAAACTGACACACACATTTTTTTTTCTTGGCTCGTGTGGATAGGAGACAAGGAGATAGAATCATAACCTAATGATTAATAGGACAGGTTTCAGTCAGTCTCTACAGAACAGTTACTAAGCATACGCACACACGCGCACACACACACACACTGTACTTATAATATATAAGGCCAAAAGAGGGAAGCACACAGCTAATTACTACCTCCATTCTATAACAACAACTGTCCAAAATCTTTTAATATTGAAGTCTGACATTTCATACCTAGGACAGCCTAGAAATTAATGCTGCATGTGCCACTACAACAAGTGGATTCCAAGCAGATTCCAAATATGCTTCTAGCCATGACAAGCTATGAGATATAAGAACTTAAAACTCACTGACCCATTCATGACAATGCTGAGTCCTGAGTGTAAGATTAGGACTTTCTACCAGTTTTTACTTTATCCATATATAGGGAAAACAAGGGGGGAAAGTGTTAGATTCATTTTTGTGAAAAGATTGGGGATTTTTTAAAAAGTTTGTTGCATCTATTTTTAGGGGAAAATATCTATTATAGGACAATTCT